TTCTTTCTCGTTCTTTCATGTATTTCTCAAGAAGTGAATCTTGCAGACTTATTACATTACATACATAGAAAGTCATTTTCAGTCAAAAAGCAGTTAATTGTAACTAAAACTAGATTACTTTGTTGTTAGGAAGGACATTGTAATCAGAGTGAGCTTTTTACTCTTCCTTTTAATTTAACATAAATATGATTTATTCAAATTCGCAGACGTTTCGATAATCATCAGACTATCTTCTTCAGCGTTGACAAAATGTACAAAAACGGAAAATGACTTTCTATGTATGTAATGTAATAAGTCTGCAAGATTCACTTCTTGAGAAATACATGAAAGAACGAGAAAGAAAAAAAATGTGGCGAAGAAAGAAAAGGAAATGTACTGCCGTTGACGCTTCTTGTCTGTGTTTTCCTGTGTCCTCTTTTTCTATTCATACGTCTACATACACATTGATAAGCATTAATTTACGGACTATTACGTCCTACTTATACATTTCATTTCGTTCGATCGAAACATATTTAAACAGGAGGAACACACATAATTCAGTTAGAGTCTTTCTTGTTTCACTCTACTTCTTTCATGTTATTTGGTATTAATATTATTTTATTAAAAATAGACTACTTCAGAACTACAAACGTTCGGTGATTTGCAAGTTATCAAAATCAAATAAAACATTAAAAAAATAGAATAATGTCAATATCCTCGAAACCTATTGTTGTCATCTTTGTCTTCTACTGTCTTGTACTACCATTAACAACATTTGCATTACAATGTTATACGGGTAGTTATACACAGTGTATGTTAGTGGATTCAAGTAAAATTGATAATGTTTGTGGTACAACAGATCCAACAAACTGTCGTTGTGCACGGTATAAATTTACATGTACATCAGATGATACAGGTTGCACACAGAGAGAACAAGATCAACAGACAGCTAAATGGGCCTACATAGTAACATCACATGTTATGTGTAATGAAATGCGACAGATGCCCAGCATGTATCAACAGTTGAAATGTTGTAATACAAATAAATGTAATCGTCCACAATCAAAGAAAGTCAAATGCATAAATATCTTTGATGGTGTCGATGAACAACAAAGAAAATGACGTAGAAGTTCTTTTTAACTCATACGGAAAATGATTTTTATTCCATATAATGTTGTTATAAAAATCAATATTCTTCTGTTGCTGTCATTATCACTTTTTTATGTTGTCATTGTCTATCTGTATTCCTACATGTCTTCTTGTTCTGTCGTCTGTTCTCAGTCAGTTTTGTGTAAAGATGTAAGGCCTACTTCTAATTGTGTACTGATTTGTTCGAGATTTTTTCTGTTAAATATAGTTTATAATAATTACATTGATCTTTTTTGATAAAGATTTGGGATCTACCAGGAGTGACTGCTTGCGAGGCAGGTTGTGAAATAAATCACAGGTTTTTTTCACTGAGTTTTCAACACAAGGTCGGCAGCAGTAAAGTGTCCCGTCTACTCATTCTGTGCATCTGCCATAATCGTCACCACTCAGAACACTGCCGAACCTCATATTCGGCTGACCAAGCGCGTTTTTCTTAAAAGTGTTTAGAGCACCACAATACTTTCACATATCAGTAGTATAGATCAGCATCGTACCAAACATTTTCACGGAATAGGGCAAGGGATCCAGAAACAGCTACCCTGTACATCTCTATTATACAGTGTATGAATGTTGCAGAGGTCGTCTGTGAGACTGAAGTAGACTATTATTGCTATCAGACAAATTTTTTTTCACTCTAACAAAGCGAGAAATGTACAGAGCTTCATTGCTGACTGTATTGAAGTCAACGCCTGCAACTGAATAGGTTCATACACTGTCATTTAAAAACTGATTCATGAAAATTCAATAAATCAGTTATAACAATGGATATGGGAGATTTTGAAAATGGATCACTTCTCTACAGCTAAAAGTGAACTGCTTGCAGATATTTCGATAAAATTCATCTGAAAGATCATCGTGACTGTATTTCCCTTGCAGACTGATTAACACATGTAGGCAAGTTCACGTTCAGCTGTCGAGATTTTACCCATTTTCAATAATTCATCAGTGAACAATCTACATCACATGAAGGACCTTCTTTCTGTTTTCAAATCTCTACAACTTATCTGACTAATTAAAGAAACTTTGGACGTAGAAAAATAAAAAATGTATTCTCTGATGATGACGAAAGAATATTATCTTTTCATAATTTTCAATCCACTATTTTCATAAGTTTTCTTAAATACAGTTCTACTGTTGGAGATAATTATTGGAGGGTTTGAAGAGCATGCAAAATAGACACGAAAAATATATGGGAACAATCCTAGGAACTCGTAGTTTTTGAAAAACTTGAGGTCAAAATAGACGAAAATTGGAAAATCCCCACCGGTATTCGAAGTTTTCTACTTTCGTGTATAGACACAACTAAATAATTCTTACACCATCGAATAGCGTGTAGAAAGACGATTTCGATGGGGATATCGGACTTTCATTAAAAAGAAGTTCATTAAAATTTTAACGAAACTTCCTATGTGTTCGATGACTCTGAATTTTCATTAAAAATTTTAACGAAATTTTTGTGCCATCAAAAAACTGTAGTGGAATTCTTGTGTCAGCGAAACGTTTTAATGAAACTATCGTGTTATCAAAACCTTTAATGAAACTATCACATTCACTTTGGAGGAGTTAGGTGAACACAATATAAGTTAAACACCTGAAAATAGGTATGTTTAAGCGGGAAAAAATTATGTACATATCGCGTAGCGATACATGTAGTTAGTGAAACAGGTATCTTTTCGCTAAGCGATATATATAGAAAAGTTATTTTGTTCAAGAAAAGAATAGTGATCTTTAAGGAGGACCAGTCCCAAAATACTCTCAAAGTTCCCATGTAAATTCATTGCGTTTGAAAAGACGCGCTTTAACGCGCTGTTATTGTAAAAGACGCGTTTTAGCGCGTCTTTTTAAAGATTAATTTCTCAGACGCGTCTAAACGCGCGTGAGAGAGACGCATTTAAACGCGGCTGTAACTATTTTCATCAAAATACGCGTCTTAACGCATTTTCGTAAGAAAATGTTACAGGCGCGCCTAAACGCGCATAAGAAAGACGCGTCGAAACGCGGCTACAAAACATTTTCGTCAACCGACGCGTCTAAACGCGTGTTTGTACGGATAATTTCTAAGACGCGTTTTAACATAGTGAAATGGTGCAAAATCGATGCACGCAGACGCGTCACCACATGCGTCTACAACTAAAAAATATTTACATGGGTTTTTAGAATTTGTTGTTTAGTGGTACCTTCAAACTTTAATTTCATTTTTCTGCCAGAGTACGTTCTTACGTGAATTTTTGATGTTCTGCTAGGTGAAACATATATTGCTTAGCGAAACGCTTTTTGTTTGAGTCATCTTTATCTATTGCTGGGCGAAACATGTTTTGCTTAGCGCTTTCATTGTCAGCTCAAAGCTGTAGAACTAAGAAGAAATTAATTTAGGACTTTTCTTGTAAATTCTATAACTTTGCAAAGAAAAATCATGTAGAGCTGGAAGACGTCTCATTTTAATCAGAAATGTGCGGGCTACAATTATGCCTCATTAAGAAAGGTTTATTATTTTTTAGAATTTTTCAAAAACTGGTTTTGCAGAAAACCGAGACTTCGAGACCCATGCGCAAAAATCCTTTTAGGCTTTTTACCAGCTCGATGTGCTCTATAAAATGAGGTATGAATGAAGGAAATCAGAGTTGGGCATCTGGAGCGGTTCCCTCGTAAGCGAAATATTCCATACGTCTACATCTATTGCTTAGCATTTAATCATTTACTTAGTGAATGTGACACCTTCATGCTACAAGATATGACTACTTAATACTAGGATCATCAGAAACAAATTATTCTTATAAACAGCATATAACAGCATTTTAATGGAACTTCCTGTGTGTCCAGTGGCCCTGGATTTTCATTAAAATTTTTAATGAAGTTATTCTCCCGTCAAAAAATTTTAATGAAATTCTTGTGCCACTAAAATCGTTTTAATAAAACCCCTATTAAAAGTTTTTTAATGAAAGTTCTGGTATCTCATTAAAAAATCTTTGTACTGTACATCTCACATGCTTTCAGAAACTTATCAGTGTTGCTTCTAGAGAGCAAAATGTGAAACCTTCTACACATCATCTTTAAGAGGAATATTTATTTCGATACTCTTTACTGTATAGTTCACCATTTATATTATATATAACTCAAAAAAGCTCAAAAAATTTCAAAAAAATTTTCATTTTATCTATAGAGACTAAGCGTAAAAAGATATTGATTATCTCTGAAATAACACTGAAAATCTCCACATATAGCAAAAGGAAGTGGAAGAGCCCAGAAAAGTGAATTTTCACACGAAATTCTGTAAAAAGGAACCATCATCTTAGAAATACTTTAGCAAGCACATATCAATTCAGTTGGATGAAAGAAAACTATAGAGTTTTGCTTCTTTTGAAGAATATTTGCTTTTTCAAATGTCATTCACTGAACAATCCGATTACCCTATGAATCCCAAGCAAAACTAAGTAAGCGAGAAAATCTAACTGCAAAAATAGCTGCGTCGCCCACTTACAGCTAGATTAACTAGATTAAAAGGTACATTTATCTAGCTGTATGCTGGTTGAAATCGTGTACTAGCTGAAACGGCCGATGCATTGGCCAGTTAATCGAGCAATGAATTGCCCGATTAATCGACAGCAACTAGTTGTACTCAGTTGGTGCTAGCTTCAATCTAGCTGAAGCTAGATAAATGTAGATACTGATGTGGAATCAGATTTTGAAGTACAAGGATAAGAATGGCCTTTGTTGATACAGGGAAACTAATTGTACATCAGTATTCAATGCTTTATTGAACGACTTTGCAGCACTTTCGATTTCATCTTGTTTTCCTGCGAAACAAGAAATTTAAACAAATGCATCAATACAGAATTAAATAAAAGTAGTTCGTAGAAAGAAAACTCTCACCTCGAAATATAAATCCAGTATGAACTGTATTTCTTTCTTTATATTTGATTATACAATTTCCATCTTCTTTGGACATCTGAATTTTATTAAAATCGAATAGTTATTTTCTTTAAGCCAAACGATTAGAACGAAATCTTCATCTCCAATACACTGACCAGATGTAGTAGTGAGAACTGCAAATTCATTGAAAAATTTACGGAGTTATTCAAACTCTACGACTTTTCGAGTTATTTTGACGCGTTTCTAAAACCTCTTCGAAAATTTGAGTTTCTGAGGAAGAGCTTCGATTCTTGCGTAGGGGGAAAGAGCACATCGAGATGTTTGTTCCCTGAAACTTCCATCGAGAAGAGTCGAGTTTTGACGGAGATATTCGAAGAGCACTTGTAAAACCAGTTTTTGGTGCAAAAAGTAAGGGTTTTTCAGATTTTCTGATTACTCCACATCTCAAGAAGCATTTAACAACAAAGCGGCAGTGAACAAAGTTGTTCAGTGGATTGTTTCACGTAGGAAACATGTCTTGTCAAGTGCGAAATCCACAAAGCCCACGTTTAGCGATAAAAATGCGAAAACTAGGTAAAGATAGTCTCATGTACCTTCAAATCATTTTCTCTGCCAAAGTATCTGACAACCCCTTAATGAGGTGAAAAGGTCAGATCATAGGTTATTGTAGGTGCTGAGTTCAGTGGTAGTAACGAAAACCGCAAAAACTTTCGTTATGTGCATTTGGTTTTCTAGAGATCTAACTCGCGTAGGTCTTGAACATCTCTGGCCTTAGGGAAGCATTTCCGAGTAAAGGTGCAAGAGCAGGAAATGATTAGCGTCAAATTCTGCTCCGGCTTACAACAGCGATTTTCGAATTTCCAAAAGCTCGAGTTTAAAATCCAAGTCACCATTATACAAAGTTCAAAAATCCCGTTAAAAAACTGAGTTTTTGAGAATTCGAACATCGCTCTCGTGAGCCGGAGCAGAATTAGATGCGCGATCATTTTTCGCTCTTGCACTTTTGTTCAAAAATGCTTCCCTGATGATGAAGCTGGTGCAGGATTTTTCAAAATTACTTTTGTTCAGAAGAAATCACAATACAACATTTGTTCACTGACCAACGGACAAGAAAGCAAGGCTTACAGTAGGTCTCGTCACTGACATCAAAGGTCGATGTAAATGGTGGTAGGTTTTATATGGATTAAGCCTATCCATCCATGCCGAAAACATCACTCTCCAGTAGTAATATCCGAAAAAGTGAGTGTTCCCACTTTCAACTAGAAAGGAATTACCAGCCATTTTGTAGAGTTTTGAAAGAGCTTTCTGCTGATATACTAGCTTTTTTAGCATTTTGTTTTGATTTTCATTCGAATTTTTTCAAAATGCACCGTTACAGAATTCCATCGGGGCACTCACACGAAACAATTTTGGATTTTTCCGTCGTCTGATGCACACTATTTAACCTAAGAATTTTATATACTTTTAGTCAGCGTTGAATTCTGCACAAGATGGCTCAATTAGCTTTTAGAGTTGCTGATTTTCATTTTTCTTGAAAAGTCGGAAACGTTTTCACCGCAGATTTCTATGAAAGATACACTGTTCGATGCAGAAGTTTACGCTAATTGCGAATATCAAGTTGATTTTATTAAATGTCTTTGAGAAAATCGAACTCTCTACGAAATAAACCGTCTGCATTGGAAAAACCGAAAAAAGGACGTAATTTCGTAACGACGAGTATTTCTAGATTTTTATTCGATCGATTAATCAATTTCGGAAACCAATTAGATAGTCTGAAAGCTAGTGGAAAACTGCACACCTTGCATCTAAAACATTTCTTTCAAGTCGCATCGATTCGTAAAAATAATCGAAATTATACACACTACTAAAACACACTTCCATTTTTTGTTCTTCCGTAACCACATTTATTTTGCTTATAACGTCGGTTCGGCCCAACCAAGTCGATTGAAAGCCCTTTTGGTACTAGAACACATGATTCTTTATTAGTGATAAAAACTTCAAGGCTCCGGCTTTAGCCATTTTTAGAACGCAAAAAGAATGGAATTCCTTAACGCTTGGCCGAGCCGTAATATAATCTTCTTTCTACAATTGTAAATATAACATAATTCTCTCTGTTTCTTGCCCCAATCTCGTTTCAATCTCAAATCCTGCTCTGTTATTATTCATGAAACAACCCTTGGCCAATGGAATTTGTTAGACTGTGAGTGTATGCATTTTGTTCTTTTGTTAATGCAAACATTGTATGGATGTAGAAAGCGATGTCATACCATTAATCTTCTTCAAAATATCATTATATTATAAGGAAAACAGAAGTAAACCGCAAATCTTCATTTGAAATAAGCAAGGTTGTTCATTATATTATTATTATTTATTATTATTAGATTACTTCTAGTATGACAACAAACATTTATAATGACGGTATGTTTTTCAAACATGCTGCGTGACATGAATCGACACAACTCAAGGACAACAATAAAATAATAATAATAATATAAACATTTCTCAAATTGAGCTAATCGGACGAAAATATACCTAAAGTATCCTGCACAATACTTTTGATTCTTTGCTATTTTCTCCATCAGGAGTCTATTTCTAACACTGCCCGCAAGAGGTTTGGGAGAGATTTTGAATGGCCACGATAAAGCTACGTAATAATACATCATATTGTTGCAAAAGATGTAAAAGCACTGTGTCTTCTAGTATAAGTTCCATTATGAAGTGGATAAGGTATGTGGACCATTAATCTTCTTCAAAATATCATTACATTATAAGGAAAATATAAGTAAACCGCAAATCTTCAGTTGAAATGAGCAAGGTTGTTCATTATATTATTGTTACTTATTATTATGAGTTATTATTAGACTACTTCTAGTGTGACAAGAAACATTTATAATGACGGTATGTTTTTCAAACATGCTGCGTGACATGAATCGACATAACCCAAGGATGACAATAAAAACAGATAAAATTAGTCTGAGGTGTTTTTTATGAAAGCGTGGGTTAGCGTATGAGACAAGCTACAGAAATCATTATACTATCTGAATATATATATACACGTTGTGTCCGAGCTACAGTATAGTTAAACCAGAATTAGTAGAGAAGCGTTCTTATACTTACCTAATTGCATCACGTATTTATTAACAGATATTTTATCGAACTGAGAAAATGATTCTCAAAATCATATTACTGTCGGTCTGTTGTCTCTCAGCCGTATCTGCGTTAGGGATGGGACTGTGCAAGGATGAGAATTTCGGCAGTTGCTACGGTTTTAGTGGAGGCAACGGCGAATGTGTCGATCTTCCACGTGATTGGAATGACGTCGTGAGCAGTTTGTGGAACGATGGTGGTCCATGCGCTGCCTATATGGAGGGAAAATGCGAAGGAGGACCCCTGTGGGTCACATCGGTAATGGCCAGTATGGGGCAGTATAACGATCAAATGTCTTCATTCAGATGTTATGCGGGTTAAACAAACGCACGGCACATTTGTTTCTTTTGGATGCGAATTTTCTCATTCTTGTTGGTTGTTTTCCTCTAGTGCTATCAGATTGAGTTCTAACAGCGCTTATTTCTTTTCTTTTCTATTTGATCAGTCATGTAAAGTTTAAGTAAAAGAAATAAACTTCAGCTATTTACAGTCATTCGTACATTACAGACTAGAAGAAATACAGGCCTTAGCTTTTCAAAGAATCAATGACGATGGCCGTCGTTTTTCATATGTATTATTGTGGACGATTGGTGGATATTTTATAGAAAGAAATTTCGTATTTCTTACTTCAGCCATGACTATTTGAGAACTAAAGATGAAATGTTGTGTGGTGGGTCGCTCTTATGCCACGCATCCCCTACCTCAATCGTTTTGAGAGGTTCAAAAGTTTCTCTAAGTTCTGTTCTGTCTTATTTGTTCGGACAATTGAAAATTAGCACCCTTAATCAAAGACAGAACCCACGATAACGGGTTGAACAGACTGAAAGATTTTCAACACATAGCTAAAATGGGTTAATTGTTCTTTTCGGTAGCTAAATTGACCACAGGACAAAATGAAAACTTTGCAGCGTTCAACATACCTTATCCACTTCACAATGGAACTTATACTTGGAGGTACATATTGACTTTAAGTCAATATAAACGCTGATGATCTATTGTTTAGAAAAGGATTCCTTCTAGTCTTTGAGAAATATAGCTGTGAATATCGATGATTATCCTCTATACAATCGTAAATGCAGAAGTAAATAGATATGCACCGGTAAAACCCGGTCTTGGGACATCCGAGAAAACTGTTATACATCGGTTGTCGAGATTCACCCAGATCTGGAAAGCAAACCTGGGATAACTTTTTTAATAACTTTCGAAAAATGCATTTTGAAGACTTGCGACGTTCAACATCACATACAAGAGATACTTGGCTACAAGATGACATAAAAATATCTTATAAAATACTACCTGCAGATGGTGTACCTTATCAGTTTGTGAAAGGAAGTGTTGCCAAATATAAATTGGAATTTGAAGTTATTTTAGTTGAAATATAGACAAAATGATCTTGACAGACATTTTTTAGGAAAAAATCTCAGTGGACACTTCGATGTAAAATGAGACCTTCTCTGCAAGCTCGGGAGTTGGAATTTTTAGCACGTACTCTCACCAGGTAATAAAAAGAGAATAAACGTCTTGGTTCTAACCGATAAATCGTTCCGAAGTTATAGACCAAACAATTTTCAAATGGACATTTTGTAGAAAAAACCAAATAAAATACATTTTCATCCTGATTTCCAGTGCAATAGAAATTTCTAAACTTCCCTTGCTTTATCAAAATGTGGAGCTTGTTACGCTCTATATTTCTGTCTGTTTTAGAAGTTTTCAAGAGCCGGCATTAGCATATGAAACTAGTTCTAATCTCGGTGTGCGGAATTTTGCAAAAAACAGATTTTTGACAGAATCAGATCCAAATCTTATTTTATTTAAATTTTAAAGTGCATATTCTAGAAACCTGCCTTTCAGGCTACAAGCAAATCTGAAAAACGAGGAAAGGACACCAACTGTCTTCCTTCGCCGCCAGAAATCGCCTGATGGAGGAACCTTTTAGTTTTTTTATGAGAAGGACCTCATCTGACGAGAAAAGGACACTAACTGTCTAAGCACTTTTAGCCAAAGACTCACTGGACAATAGGTAATCGGGTGTGCGGAATTCGGTTATGACAATGGTTTTTGCTGCTAGGCCTTGGAAGACTGAGTTTTCTAGAAAACCGGAGTTTAAGGTTGGAAAACGTTTTGCGGCCATAAATTCTTTTGACGCGTTCAAATGCAAGAGCACATCAAAAGACCTATGACAAACTACTTTTCAAAATTTTTGGAGGGTTTTGAAGCGATTTATATAGGTCAAAATCTAAAATACAGGAGGAAAACCGGTATTTCGTTCCTACGCATTTCACGTAAGAAGACTCCGGCGACTCCGGCAACTAGACAGACGACCTCTCGTGCTCAAATTCGGAATCAGCACACTTGATTACCTAGAAATCACTCGCTTTCGTACGTGAAATGCGTAGGAACGAAATACTGGTTTTCCTCTTGTATTTTAGATTTTGACCTATATAAATCGCTTGAAAATCCTCCAAAAATTTTGAAAAGTAGTTTCTCATAGGTTTTTGATGTGCTCTTGCATTTGAACGCATCAAAAGACTTTTTGGCAGCAAAACGTTTTCCAACCTTAAACTCCGGTTTTCTAGAAAACTCAGTAAAAGTGCTTAGACAGTTGGTGTCCTTTTCTCGTCAGATGAGGTCCTTCTCATAAAAAAACTAAAAGGTTCCTCCATCAGGCGATTTCTAGCGGCGAAGAAAACAACATTTTGCTGGAACCCTGAATCGCACGTTGTTTGACTCAGTTTTTAGCACTGATTACGAATATTAGCTCTATTTTGCTTTAAAAAGAATTCTTAACAGTAGAAATTTGCTTTTATTTCCAACATTATACTGATTTTGAATTTTCTTGATTGTATCGTCATGATTTTCAATTTTTAACTCAATTGTTTACACATATTCTTGTGGCTATTTTTCATTAGACTAGGAATAGGTTGTGGTTAAAGTTACTTTTATACCGAAAAATGCAAAAGAAGAGCAAAAATACATATTATTAAAGTGCTGTTGAGCTTATGCTGGAGATTCTACAATGATCCTAACAAGTCAAATCAATTATTTATACATATTCTTAACGGCCTATTCATTACACCAGGAATGGTCATTAAAGTTTGAATGATAGAGAAAAAAAGCGAAATACCATAACAGGTAGCGCTGAAAACTTAGATCTGGTAAGGATTTTTTTGATAAAAAATACCGTTATTTTGCTTTCGAGCATTTCTTCGCACATATTCTTGATCAGCTCGTCGAGCTCTATTGATTGGTATAGTTGAAAAAAAAGTTTCATTCGCCATAAAATTGAATTCCCTGTCGAATCTTGAGGAGGGGTCGATTTCTGCACGATTTTGGAGAGCCACTTTTCACAGAGCAGCTCATTTCATATGAGAAATGTCGAATGTAACTTATACGGCGGAAACCGCGGATAGATCCAGCACGAATATCGTGATAACGAAAAGTAGTAATCCGTGCAGGGAACATGTTGATATCGATGAACCATAATTTTAGGATTTGTTTGTGATCTAAAAGTAAGCTAACATCTACTATATTGTCCATTAAAAAAACGAATGGGCATGACTAGTTTTTTAATAATTTTTGAAAAATGCATTTTGAAGACTTGCGGCTTCGAGTATCGCATATAGGAGATACCTGGCTACAAGATGACATAAAAATATCGTATGAAATACCATCTGCAGGTGGTGTACCTTATCCCTAGATCAGGAAATTGAGAATAAGGCTTGAAGTTCGGTTTTCATTAGAAAATTTGGTGCTTGCTCCGCGCTGAACCAAATTGGATAAAAATTGGGCGCCAAATGCAAAATTTGTCGGTGAATCCGACAGCGGGTTCCTTGTAATTACATCTCCACTTCTTTGTTGGCGTCAACATAATCAACGTGGTTTGTGCCTAAATTTTATTTTTCTCATTGGCGCCTTTTTTTCAACCAATTTGGTTCAGCGCGGAGCAAGCACCAAATTTTCTAATGTTAGGGACAAAGTTTGATTTTTTCAAAATTTCAATTTGATATTCGGAATCAGCGTCTAAAATTGCATCTACAAAAAACATCTTGTCATTTGAAGGTGATCGTTAATTGGACAGGTCGTTTAGTCCTTATACAAGACGTTTTCTTTGAGACAATGTTTCTATATTCGAAAACACATTCAAAATAATCTGCTCTTTGTTCGAAGTGCAAATAGTCGGATCTTACGGTTTCTCATATGACGATAGTGTCACTCTTAATCGCTGACAGTTATATGTATAAATGAAATGTGTTCCCTTTGTCGCGGGTAATATCCAGTTCACTCTGTCCATTCTTTCAAAACACAGCATAATAGCTTTTACGTTATTAGTATATATAAATCTCATTTTTGCTCTAAGGAACTAAGTTCTGTTTCTCTTTTGTCTCTCTATTGAATTGACTTTTTAAGTGAAGTTTTTTGCCTACACTATATTGGAATATTGGAGATTCCAAAGAGAGAGTGAGAGAGCGAGGTAAAAGCAGTTACGAGAGGAATTGTCCGAAACTATCAAAAATCGAAAAACGAAATTATCAACGCTACTAAATTCATATTTCGAAAAAGAGTCATTTTCAGAGTCGTAACTCTTTTCTGAATAAACTGTGAGTACAATTAAAAAAAGAAATGAATTGTGTAATCATACTCCATTTGCAAATTATTTAAAGAAAAAATCAAGTCCAAACGACATTACATCACATACTGTTAGAAAAGAAAAAGAAATAACAACTGACGATATCTTTCCTTTAGAGAAATTGTAAAAAGAACGAAAAACAGTAAATGATCTTGCTAGGAATCGAACTTGGAATCTTCCGCTCTTTAATTCTTAAATTATTATGGCTTTTTGCTGTAACAATCCTCAATTAAGCCAGTCTGCTGCATTAAAATGCGCATTATTCGAGTATGCTGCGGTTGTCGAATTATCCATTAAGCCAAAATGTTGATTTGTTGATATAAGTTGATGATTTTCACCACCTATCTCTGCATTACATTCAGGACAGTGACTCCGCTGAGTAGCTCCACCACATTCGCCTATCACATACGGATGACCTATATAAAACATAAAATACCTTAAAAAACTAATGAAATTAAATCGCTTAGTATGACAATATATTTCAGATATTTTCTAATGAAGATGAAAAATAGTTTTTACCGTTTTGGCAAATAAACCAGTGGCCTTGTTTCAAATTCAATGCGTTCACAATCTGAATACGTTCATCATTTGTTATACCTAATCCCGGTAGATTTAGCATTGTTTTTATTTCATTATATAATGCATCGAATTGTTGACAATCCTGATTCGTGAATGGACTACATTTTAAGACTAATTTGCGTAAATCAGAATTCTTTTCTCTTATCGTGTTGTGTGATATTTGCACACTTGTTTCTTTGATCAAGAAATCATCATCATACAGAAATGTAAAACGTTTTATTCGCATTAATTCGTATTTGATATCATGTAATTGTTGTTGGGTGTAAATATGTCGCTTCTTGAACATATAATTGACGATTCTGTCAATAAAAGTATTCATTTGGCGATAATTTGCTGAGTTTAATCGTATTTCTTTCCCAGCATCCAAGCGTAGATAATGCATTTCTTTCAAAAACGTCAACGTATTTTCAACATAATCTAGCGCACTCATATTCAGTTTAACTCGTTTTAATGATGAGAGTTTTTGAAGCGGTTCAGTATCATTCACTGATTTAACTTTTAAGAAACGTTGAATTAATTCAAACAACTGCTTTTGACGTCGACTTACTGAATCTTGGTTTTGCTGCATTGTTTTTACTTTTTCAATCCATGATTGAACTTCATTAACTACATGTTTATACCTTACAGAACGACGAACTAGAGTTTTACACTTAGGACAATCTGGTAAACGAATGACTTTTTCTTCCTGTTTTGTAACAAAATCGTTGATATAACGATCAAGACCATCGACTTCAATAATATGACGACAATCTGATAATTGAACAAAACGTGCATCCGGCTCATCTTCATTGCCAAAAAATATTTCTTTAACTTTTTGACGATCGCATATTCGGCACCATGACGGACATGGCTCACCGCATAGCCCAATACCTGTTTCAAATGTCATTTTGAAAAACTCAATTATTATGAATTTTGCTTAAGCTACTTACAGGGATGTTTGCATTTTCTCAATCTCTTTCTACATGGTTTGTTACATGATGAGCAATCACACGACTGAAAACATAACTTTGTACATTTTTTATGTATACATGACCGCAAACACTTTTCTTTGCATGGTGCGCAAGGCATCCAACATTCTCTTTTGCATTTTGAATGTTCACAAGAATTTTGACATTCCATTGAACATGGCGGGCAATTTTTGCTGCAAGGTGCTGTGCAAATCTAGAAAAATAATTCTATCAAAGATATCAACGTATTTTTACAACAGTCTAGACACCCATTTGTCCAAGATGGCTTATCAGCAATGAAGTATTTTATTCAATCATACTAATCACTACGATGTGTACATTACTATATCGTCGAAAAAAGTTTAAGATATTTCAGCTCTTCCAGTGTAGAAACAAAAGATTTTACTCATAGCTATCCCATGTCGTCTGTTTTTATAGAAAACCGTCGGTTAACCATGGTTCATCAAATAACCGACAATTGACCGCGGTTCACTATAAACCGTCAATTAATCGCGATTAACCGCCAGTATTTTCGATACCGCGGTTTGAAAAATTAACCTCCAATTGACCGTGTTACTTCGAAGAATCGAGGATTAACCGTTTCTTTTTCAGTCACCGTTTTGTTTTGTGGTCGCTATATGTACATAAGAACAACAGGATTTTTCCTATGACTTCTTGAAGTGTGAACTTCGACTTAGTCTAAATATCTTTCAGACTGCGTCTAAGAGTCCTGGCAAGCAGATAGATACTGCTCACCAACGCTTCACCGGTATGAGACAGTTTTTTACTGCTATGGAACACTTGAAAGCTCAACACTCAATAGGAAAATGTAAAAGATATTCGGAGGAGGATTTGTACTGATATCGCTTGCTTAGAAAAAAGAACGTCAACTAACCGCGATTAAGTGAGCATTTTGCGCTAGTTCGCGGCTAATTGTGGTTAATCGGACAGTAAACTGCACACTTAACCGGACGGTTAACCGAGGTTAATTAGCGGTTTTTTGCCGGTTAGATAAACATGGAATTTTCTCTGGCACAACCATTGTTTATTTCAAATTATATATTAAACTTACATGTCCACATATTAATTGTTTTTCACATTTTTCTTGACATTCTACATGTAGTTGTCCATACTGGCACGTTGAACATGTCCCTTTGCATGTATGACCACATAATAACACTTGCCTACACGGTACTTTACACACAACTGAGTCATATGACTTTGTTTTCTCAACGTGACATAAAACATTCTCAGAATGACCACACGGTAGATGAACGGAAACAAGTTGTTTACAATGTTGAATAGCTGGTACGGCTGAGCATTCAATTCTCACTTGATGTTGACATTCGTGTATTATTTTCTCGACAAGAATGTGGCAAGGACCGTGATTGCTAGGTTCATTTGAATGACAAATTCTTTTACAGGTATGCTCACAGTTCACTAATGATTCATCACAAGTTTTACGACATTTAATTTTCTCGTGTTCCAAATCGTAATTATGGCAAACGAGATAGCATTTATGACCACAGGGTAATCGAGTATCGCATAACCTTTTACATCCACCTGAATAACTTTATAATTGTAATAAAAAGTACAGAGAAATAAATAAATACAAACTTGCCTTCAGGACGTTCGGAAAATGACTTTGGCGAATGTGCGAGAAATGATGGTGCATCTGTGTGACGAATACAATAAAGATTCAATCCTAAATTGAAGAATTTATTCACATGAATACATGAAACTTCCATTTCTTTTTTCAAAAAATGTGTTACACTTAATTACAATAGCAGAGAAAAAGTATCTGATGCAAACTCAAAATCATTCTCTGTAACCTACCTCTCCCAACTGCATTCTGATCAATAAATGTTTGTGCAATTTTATACCACATGTCACTTGTCATTCGCAACATATCAAAGTTTCCCAAAATATAAAGTCCACATTTAGCTCGCGATAAAGCAACACATACACGATTTTGTATTTTTAGAAAACCAAGATTATTTGTTAAATTATTTCTCACCAATGATAACAAAATTATGTCATTTTCCTCACCTTGATAATTATCAACGTTCATCACTCGAATACCTTTCAGTCGAGTATATTTATGTTCTTTCATTAGTTTAGCAATCAATTGACATTGTGCTAAATACATAACCAATATTGTTAACTGCGATGTTTCATAACCTTGTTTAATTAAATAACTCGCTAATTCGACAATATACTCGGCTTCAAATGGATTTCGTTTTGAACTAGCATCAGTTAAAGTTTCTTCTTCATGTGCATGTGTAATAAAATATAAATTTTCTTTAATTCCAATAATTGATGGACGTTCGGTTTTGACAATATCATGGTTTTGTAAGTCAGGATAAAAAGATCTCATCAAATCACATATTTCTGGCCGCATTCGATACTGAAATAGACACAATGAATAAATAAATTTAAAATGATTTACTATACGATTGCATGATATACCTGAATATTCAATCGAACAGACGGAAAATCGTTCTTTATAAAGCGTTCAAATAACGATACGTCAATATTGTATGTTTGGGCTAAACGATAAACTGTTGGATTTGGACGTAATTGTTGATGATCACCGATCAATATTAAATGTTCACATTTAGCTGATAAGGAACAGATGATGTGTGCTTCAAATATTTCAGCTGCTTCTTCTACAATAATTATTTTGCAACCTAAAATTATAAATAAATACTAGTGAATAATAACATTCGTACATTGCGGAATACTTTATGTGCAGCGAGAACACGTACATTTCTTTTTCTAGATTAAGCAAGTATCTAATGGAAGTTTTTAGAACTTCCACTAAAACTCTCATAACTCTTGATCAGAACATCATTGGGAGCTGGTAGATATCTCACTCTGATCAAAAATGTTTGCTCAATTATCTGGTATTATCAAAAGTATTTTTGAATTTGGTTTTTTTATCGAAAAGTAAAATGTTTTCGAAAAGTCAGCTTTTCAAGTCAGATTAAAATAAATACGTTTAGCTCACTAGTTTAACAAACCTATTTTTTGTAAAACAGTAAAATATTTTGCAGCACATGTTGTCGTCTTCAACAAAGAAAGAAAAAATTAAAAACTTGTTATATAATAGCGTGAGAAACATACCATCCCTATAACTGTAGCATTTCTCATTATTTCATAATCTTCTACGGTTAAATATTTCCGATAATCCCCTACGTATTCATCATGGGAACCTTGGGCACGTTCAAGGGTCACTAAACAAGAGATCCGATTATAATTTCCATCTTTTTAGCAGTGTGATTATTCGCACACCTTTACATCGTCGACGGTACTTTTCTAACCAATAACGATAGAGATCATGTCGTTGTTCAAATGAAAGATTCCATAGATTACATATTTGTTTAACCGTGTTTTCGTTCAGTTTGGTTGGTAAATTTAATATGCGACGTATGAAACTTTTTCGTTGCTGATCGGATCCCTCGTGTTGTTGATTATCATCAGCATAAAATTCGTATTGTGGTCGTTGTCGTTGTAATACCCTGTTTCTCATTTCTGAACGAAGTTCATTATCGAATTCCAAATCAGCAAAACGTCGTCGATTTTCTTCTGTTTCCTCTTCGTTTTCATCGACTAGTTCACCGTACTCGTCAGTGTGAACGTTCTCGTGTACTAACTTTGTTTCTGATAACAGAGAGGAATAGTAAAAGTTACGCTTTCTATGTATAATATTTACCTTCTTCGTTTCTGCAGTCATTTATCCGATGAAGTCGATGTTCAATACCAAGCCAATCAAGTAGTGAAAAATATTCATCATATCTATCATACAACAATGAATCCAAATGAAATTGATCGATTACTTTTGCATCCTTTAAAGTGGATAAATCAACAACTGTATGATACGAATTTTTAATTTGTTCTTCTGTCTCCTTAATTGTATTTTCAACATCTCGTTTTTTCTCCAGTATTGCGCGTTTGAATAATAAATACTTCACATGGGTTCTTGCCGTTGATAATAGAAATGGATTCATGGATTCAGTCTTTGAACGACCTCCAACGCGAATTAAACCTAAGATAGAATAGCGTTTATAAAGATCATAAGAATCCGTCAATAGTAGTTGATAGGTCTTATAAGATAAACGAAACATCGCAGAGAGTCAAGAGGCGTCTCATCTTGTAGTACAAAGTGAGTCTTTTAAAATTCATCGCAGATTATGTCTAGTTACTTGCTAATTTGCTGCTAGAATTGGAATGTGAAGAGTCAAAAATGCTTTTTTCAGAAGGGGCTATTAGTAAAATATTTGTACCAGGAAAATAACTGAATATCTTAAATCGAAGTGGTACTAAATTTCAAAGAGCTGATCTTCAGCGACAAAATGACACGACTTTCAACTCTAGTAATTCGTTTCATTAAAAGCTCGATTTCTAATTTGACGTTGCCAATATCTATGAGATCAACAAAAAGAGTGAAATGTATTGACAAAAACTTGATTAATACATGATCTTAAGTATTGTGACGATGATATGTTTTTTGAATTGTGAACGAAGTTCTAGTATGTCATTCTAGTAATAGCTCAGACAAAAAGCATTTTGATTCCAACATACATACCAGTCGTCAAACTGAGACGGTTTTTAATTTGTTCCAAGAATTGGTCGAGAGCATGATTCGTATAGGAAAGTATGAGAATTGGTGTTTGATCACGCACAGCATGATTGTACAGCAGCATTTCTGCTATTTTCACGCCGAGGTGAGTTTTACCTGTACCTGGAGCTACAAAGGAAGAGGAAAATTTGCGAAATGTCCAAATGAGTATATTCTGAAATACGCACGTCCTTGAATGACTGCAACTTTTTTTGTTAATGCTAATCGTAATGCTTTTACTTGTGACGGATTTAACTTCATTTCGTCACTTGTTGGCCATTGACTTTCATCCAATAACGTCACTGATTTATGTTTGTCTAATACTCCTTCATGTCCACAATACATTATTTTCAATGATGGTCTAGTATATGTAGTCACACGTGAACTCGGTTTTACTAGAAGTGGTGTGAAATTGTATTTTGTTTCAACTGTGATATAATCTGGTGGCGAAACGTCTTTGGTTAACGACAGAATATACGGTATTAATGGGAATTGTTCGTATCGAATCTTCTGCAGTGCTTCTAACACCGGTCGATAAGACTCAAAATAAGCTGTAGTTTCCAGCATTGTCAACGAAACTGTAGACGGTAATCGATTTAAAACAATAACATGATCAGGAGAATGAGCACGAACCTACCAGATGAAGAAAACGCATAGTAATTATCTTGAAGATTGCTCCGTATTATGACGACCGGTTATCAATTTAGAAGTTATTGCAAGAACGACAATTTTGTCAGCCAGATGAAATGTGAAAGGATTTCATTAAAAAAACACTTGAGTAAGGACAGAAGATTCGATTGAGTAGCAACGGTATAGTCCTCACTATACTTACAGAAATAATAGAGTTTTTTTCTATGTTTTCTCGCTCTTCGACTGTTACCAACATAAAAGATTGAAAATTGTCTTGAGTCAGTGCCAATAAACTACCGTAGATTAGTCGTCGACTATTTTGCCAGTGTATTCTTTTCGCTGTTCGATCATCTAATTTTAATTGAAAAACTAAACCGGAATTAATTGTTTTCGGACCCAAATTTCGTACATTATGATGAATTCGAACATTTAAATTATTTGTCTGTACACCAGATCTATAACACTGAATACCATCTCGCAATGGTCCAACAAAATCTTCACGTAGTAGGCGGAAATGTATATCCAGATAATGGTCGGGTGACACATACACACCCTTAGTAATATTACGACGTAAATAAACGACTTGATTATCTAACAATTCGGTCATTGTCGGCATTATACTCAAATGACGATAATTATTCGGTGGTGGGTGAGCAGTATCACAATAATTCGAATTAGTTGTTTTCTGTGGTTTGACTTGGTGCTGCTCAAATTTGAAAATTGTTTCCGCCTTTGTACGAGCGCGCTGGAGTGATTCTTTAATATCTTTCACATGCTAGAAATAAAGAACTCTTGCATTGTTTAAGCGTATTGTGCGACTTAAATTAAAAGCACTTTAGTGAGGATATTTAGAAATGCTTGTAAAAACTAAATGTATACAGAACATAAATTTACATAACTATCTATTTTAAGGTACCCTTACTTCATACGAAAATAATGTACAGTGCTTACCTCGTTATTTTCATTTGTTTTTGCTATAATTATTTCAATTCGTTCTAATATTTTACTCAATTCACTTTCACTATGTGGCATAATTGTTAAAAGATAATCGGCTATTCTTAGAAACGATTGAATAAAGTCATACTTCAGTTGATTTGTATTTATATCAGGTTTCCGGATTTCTTCATGAACACCGTTCATATATATTGTTCCAGGTATCATAATCAATATCTGTGATATTCCTTCACAGTCACCAGTTAAAGTAACATTTTCTAAGATAGTTGTCATGATTTTAATCCATTTATAATCTGTTCCCATCCGTTTATCATTCAAATACACTTTAAATCGAACTTTTAATATTTCACTGATGAGCAAATGTAAATCTTTATCAGCAAGTTCACATAAATTGCGGTAGCTAGATAGATGCAAACAAGAAAAATTACTAAAACGAGTTCAAAAGACCTGCGTTTTAGCCAGATGAAATACGTTCATCCTCGAGTTTTCCAGAACAGTAAGAAGATATTCAAGTTCTCCATAAGTCTAAATCACCAATACACTAAATTAAACAATGGTATAGAAAATCTATTTACAGTCCCTTTTTTCATTATAGTCAACCCTAAATTTGCGTCATTGGCTGACTACTCTGTGATTTTGCATCACGACACTGCTCTCTGTATGAAGCGGTTCTTCGAATATACTCTTACACTGCTGCTCATTCCCTCCTATTTTTCTCGCTCGAAATACCCTGATAAACCTATAAGAGCTTAGAAAATGTTTAACTTACTACTGAAATTCGTGAAATAGTCGTGTCACGTTACTTAGACCGTCTTTTCCTTCTAGCAGAGCTGACATAACACCTCAAGTATTGCAAGGAAAGAAGGGTCAAACGATAAATTTTCTCCGTATTTTTTGTGCTTTTCTTCTTCTGCCACAGGGATTGCTTGTGGCAGAATCACAAATTGCTTGTTTCAAGTATTGGGGTGTTCGCAAGGGGGACAAAACTGATTTGAGGATTTGGAAGGTTTTGGAGGGATTTGAACAAGATTTGGAGACATTTTAGAGATTCAAACCAGTTTTGTCTCCCTTGGGTGTGTGTCATCCTCTACATTCCTGTCGTTCTAACCCTAGAGTCGAGCACTCACTCTTCTGATGGTTGTGGATTGGCTTCACACGAGCTATGACTACAGCATGAGGAAGAACATAGTACAAATGATTCAGAATAGATCTCTTACTGATCAGTCGGCTGGTGGAAATCGGGTTTGTGACCGCGCTCAAGCTCATATCTTCCATATGCTTCTCCTTCTCGCCATGTTTTACCGGTAGGTAATACTTGTTGACGTCCACCGTGATCCATACAAAATCTTTTAGCTAGAATTACACACAGAATGAAGTAACTAGTCTCAATATATTGATCTGCAATTCAGCAAGCTTCTTGAAATGATTCAAAATATTGACCATGATTTCTCTGAAGTTATCGAAAAACACATTAACATCAAACATGTTAGTCGTATTTGATTACCTTCATCTACAGTTTCAAAGGTAGGTGATTTACGTTTTGTGTTTTGTAGCTGGTCTTGACGCCGCGATTGGGCGACTGAATCAATAGTCGAATCTAAACGACAACGATCTGATCGAGATAAATTCTACTAATGACGGCTCTTATTAGATGTCGATGAGAGTAAAGCAATGGAAATCGCCGAGTCTTAAAAATGTTTTCGTTAAACCTTTCGGATCAATCAACATATCGTCTTTTCCGTATAAGTGTTGTCTTTGTTTCCACTTGTTAGCACGGACTTGTGTAGTGTATCGATAGGCATTAGATTGGGATTCACATAGTAGTGAATCGTCTAGAAGTACCCAATCATAATATGTTCAGACATTATTCAAGTTACATTAAGCATACGCTGTTTGTTTGTCAATGAAAAATAACCATTGATCTCTGGTGGATTGTTCGGAAAATCATTGTGAAGAAGTTCTTCATATCGACTTTGGTTACCTAAAAGTATTTGGACGTTTCAAACTACACACTTGCGCTGTAATTTTGTTGCCGCGAAACAAGATAGCTACTCACGTGTATCGCTGATATCAGTAGGCCTGCATACTACTTTTCTTCCGCGCAACATTTTTTGGATTAGTTTAGTAGTTCTAACCGCACTACATGTATGATGTTGATGATGAGCATTGTACGATAATGTCTTTCTAACTTCCGATATAGAAACGTTTTTCAATATTTGACTTACGAGGGAACATTCCCACATGATCGAAGTCCTTCTCGCTCATATTTTACTCATAGATAGGCCTACTAGTAGCGTGAAACATCCGAAGAGGATTTGGTCAATGTGATCTGATTCAAAAGTTATAAATGAATTAAAATTATTAAAGGTGGTGCTACTACATTTCCAGTGCCGTTTTGTTTTTTCTCATATCTCTATATTTTCTTAGGCAGAAACCATTTTCGAAAACATTCAAAAGGCCTGTTTTCTGCAAGATCTTTGGAAAATCACTTTCGATCTCCGGAAACTGAGAGAGCAATCTATCAGTTTTTTTTACAGACAGATAGATATTCTAATGTATCCTCTCCAAAATGGGAGCGAAGCGAACTCTTAATTTTTCCTGGATCAGGCGTGGCATCGGATTTTCTGAGAGTGCCAAGATCAATATTTCAAGGGAATCTTTGGAAAGTCACTCCAGTAGGTTTCTGAGACTGTGCTGAAAAACAAATGTTGCCACGAGATTCAGCATAGTCAATAACCCATGTTTCCAGCCGTTTCCGAAATTACCACACCTAAAGAAATATTGATCTTGGGACTCTCAGAAAATCCGATGCCACACCTGATCCAGAAAAAGTTCCTAGACTCAACTCTGGAAAGACTAGACTCGTTTTACAAAGCGAAATAGCGAAAAGTAGACTAAATAAAGAATATATTCGTCTTCTTTTCTATCGGCGGCGCCGTCTTTTTTTCCTCTTGTTATCTTTGCATACGAGGAATCATTTTATTCAGTCACTCACATCTATTTCGTATAACCCTATTGCATCATTACATTGTATTTTTCCTTTATTGTGTGTATGATGGTATGATCTCTCTCTTTTCCTTTTATTGTTTGTGTGGGTATATATAGTCACGTATGGTCAGTTGCATATAGCGTGTCAACATCGCTTCTCCTCACATTTTTTTTATAGAAAACACACACTGTATATAGCACTTTTGTTGATCACACATACGTTTTTAGTTCTGTGACATCGGTTCCAATCAATATTAGTGAGTCTAGTAAGAGATGCTGTTTTGAGTCAGTATGTAAAAGCTTTTGCTGTGACAGCGAACTTTTGCTGAAAAAAAAAATGCTGAAGGTTTTACTGTGCTTTTTATATTTTTTGGTGTGTATTTAATATTTAATTGGTATGGTGTGATGGTTGTTTTTATGCAAGTAGGTAGATGTGAACGCTAACCAGTTCTTATCCTCTCATAGTATTGATGAATGAACAGATATTGTCGATCAAAATCTATTTTTTTGGTTATACTTCTTTTTATCAAATTTAATTTTTTTTACTCAAATATTTTCTATCGTCCATAAATTGTTCATGATTTTAGCGCATGATTCAGTATCTGATCACGTTAATTACGAACGATGCTTGAACAAGAAACAACTTGTAGAAAAGGGAATGGGTTTATACATTTAAATAACCGCTGGCATCATCGTTCGAATGAGTAAACCTGTAAACATCCCTCGTATAACTGTTCCAGAACACTGAACTTTTGTGAAAAGTTTCTTTTAGCTGAGCGCGAGCCTTCTAAAAGAATTGTGTTCAGCCGTATACGACCGTCATAAACGATCGTATTTCCTTTGCTAATCAGAAAATCATGTTTATCCCAGCTGGGAAGCATTTTTCTGAGGTGGTGCCTATCAGAGAAAATGTAGAGAATGAAGTTCTGCACAAAAGTGAAAGTCCTTAGAACGCAGTCAATTTACCCAAAAATGTTTCATTTTCGAGATAAATCGTTTTAATGGTTTTCTTCAAAAGTATATCAGCGTTATTTCTGCTAAACAACTTGATATAAACTGGAGTATGGCATTTAATAATTGCTGTAAACTTTCGCAGTTGTTTTAGCAGAAATAACACTGATATATTTTTGAAGAAAACCATTAAAACGATTTATCTCGAAAATGAAACGTTTTTGGGTAAATTAACTGCGTTCTGAGGACTTTCACTTTTGTGCAGAATTTCATTCTCTACATTTTCTCTTATAGACACCACCTCAGAAAAATGCTTCCCAGCTGAGATAAACACGATTTTCTGATTAGCAAAGAAAATTGAAGCGAAAGTTGAATGAATTGCACGAATCCCTGAAGCATAGTTCAAAATATCAAAAAACAGTATTTCGGAGGGTTTTTGTATTTGCCACTATACGAAACGCATTTCGGTTTTGCAGAGCGCAAAAACTCCTCCAAATACTGTTTCAAATACGGTAAGGCGTATTTTGAAATACCACAGGAGGTTTTTGAAATTAAGTTCAAAACGCACAATGAACGTATAAGAAACCCATATCCGTTTTGCATTTACCGTTAAAGCAGCGTTTTAAAAAACGGAAGCGGTTTTTGCACTCTAAATGCAAAACGCAAATGCGTTTGGTATAGTTGCAAATGCAAATGCCTTTTTCGTTTTGTACTCTACGTTATTTTTTTACAGTGTAGGGCTGTGACAGTTTCCATTAGCGTTATGGTAACTGTAACTGCTGAACAGTTGACGTTCTTGGTCACGGTTACTGCCCAAGTCTTGTAACTGGTCGTTATCGTTACTTGTACGGTAACTGCTTATCCGTTACCGTTACCAACAACGTCAACTGTTCAGCAGTTACAGTTAACGAGTAACGGTGGTAACAGTAACTGGTAACTGCCGCAGCCCTAGTAGCGCCACCTTTAATAATTTTAATTCATTTATAACTTTTGAATCAGATCACATTGGCCAAATTCTCTTCGGATGTTTCATACTACCAGTAGGCCTATCTATGAGTAAAATATGAGCGAGAAGGACTTCGATCATGTGGGAATGTTCCCTCGTTATCACGAGGGAACATTCTCGGATGAGGACTTCTCTGGAAGTCTCGTAATAGTAGAAGCTAGTAGATTAAAATTTTTCTAAGTTCTGAATGTATACACAAAACTTGAATATTTCGTTTCTAATTATAGTTAAGCACTTTACACATTTTTCTCACTACTAATGCTGAAAAGCATATGATGGATCTAACTAATTCAGGCAGAATTTTAAATTTGTCAAGATATAACTGAAATTTAGTTATGACTAAACTAAATGTAAAACTGAGATGCGAGCCCGTGCTTGATTTAGAGTACGTCTAAGTGTCTATCGAATTTGATTCATGCCTAAGTCAATTTAAAATTTGCTTCAGTTATCTATGTACTAGATAAGCAATATTAACGTTAAACAAAAATATAATTATTTACTATTGATATGAACCAGTTGTCATTACTACTTACGTACACTCGCATGCAAGGTAAAAAATAAAACAAAGAAAAAAAGTTAAAATGTGTACTTGTTGAAGAACTGAGTGAAAATCTTTTTTCTGCTATACACAAACATACAAGAGTTCTTTTTCTATATTTCAGAAGTCAAGCGAAAAGAATTTCACGTGTGCGTATGTTACTGGAGGGACGACAGACTGTGGTAAATGCATAAATGTTTTAAACAAAAACTTTATTTGTTATTTAACTGTACTTAGCATGTTGCATATAGCAATATATCGGGCGCGTGAAAAAGTCAGGTTGAGATGATGTATTTTTTGACATGTCCTCATTGTTATCAACATCTCAGTAACGAGAATATTTGGAGACTAGGTGAAGATCTTAATGAGTACAGACTGTCAAATGAGGTAACGATGGTTATTTAAAATTTGTGATAACACATTGTATGTAAGAAAACATCGGTAAAGTATAAACAACACTCATCATACACTAGAAACTTCATTCTAACAACTTCAACCTTTATCCTTTGATCCGTTTGCATGCTGACCGAACTTTGTCCAATTTTTAAATGTACATACAGTCCTCCCTAGAGAAAAAAGGCTAGCAAGATTCGGAGCATCGTCCAGTTCTTGCTTTATTTACAATTCTCACAAGAGAATAGAATGGAATTTTTTCAGTCATCATGCTGCAATTATATGTAGCATGGAGAATTTTAAAAGTAGTGATCGTTATGATGAAAAAAAGGATACAACTCGTTCTACTCAACAGTGAGCATCTACTGCAGAAACATCGTACCAATCTGTGCGACATCTGATTCTCACTAGAACAGATGCTCATTACTCTAGCGCACACTTCCTGTTTTAAGAAAGTTACTACATCTTGAAATAGGAAAAATGATGGAATGGGGTAGATGTGGTGGGAATTCGATTTTAACCGTATATTCTACACTACCAATACCCGTCCGTGAACAGAAGCAAAAGACGTTTTGAGCAACACGAGCGCGTCTATAGATCGTTCATGACCATTTTCTGATACGTCATGGTCGATTATCTCGCCAATATTGATTTGATTACTAGGAAACCTCTTTTTAACTTAAATGAATTTTATTGTGTGTTGGACGCTGATATTACTTCAGTCAAGGGAAAAACCACATGTCTTAACGATCCCTCAAAAGAAGATTTCCATAGTGAGGGCGAAAATTTTTCATTTCTCTAGAAAACCCACTTGCGATTGGCAAAGAATTTTCTAGCGTATCCTAGGCAAAATAGCATGGTGTCAAATTCTCAGTGTGAAAGAAAAGGATATATCCTTTTTTTCTTCACAGTGATCACTACCTTTTAAATTCTCCATCCTACATTCAATTGCAGCATGATCGCATAGATAGTTAAATGCAAAAACTGTTGTCCATGTGAGAATGATCCTACCTGTTATTTTCGTATTTTAGCCGCTGGATCAATCGTTAAAATTAAGAGTTCACTTCGCTCCCATTTTGGAGAGGATACGTTGGAATATCTATCTATCTGTGAAAAGAACTGATAGATTGCTCTCTCAGTTTTCGGAGATCGAAAGTGATTTTCCAAAGATCTTGTAGAAAACAGCCTTTTGAATGTTTTCGAAAATGATTTTTGCCTACGAAAATATAGGCTAAACTGTTCCCTTTCTGTTGCTGAAAAGCGCAAGTCTCTAGCGTTTATGGTTATCCAGGTATCAAAGAAACAATCATCTGCCTCCTTCTTTGTTGACGGCTATAATAATCACAGTTAGTTTTCATAATCATTTTGAAGTCTAAAAAGAACTTTTTA